CAAACCCAGCGTACTTTGTACAAAATTGATGTTAACAGCTGCTTACCGAACTTCAGTCCCAGGGCAGCTGCCTTTGGCTTGTTTGTGGTGGCCTGCGCCAACAAACTGTGCAGCAGCGGTTTGCTTCAGTCTCCATACAGTTGTAGGTCTCCAGAGGGAGAAAGGAGGCAAAACTCACTCTGCTGGCAGGCCTTGTCTCTTGCTTTTCTTCTGGATTAAAAACAAAACAAAACAAACCAAAAAGGATTACCTTGAATTTGCTGCACTGGAACATTGTGTTAAACACATTAGTACTGCGGCGAGTAGTGTAACTGGCCAGATCCTCTTCTGATGTAAGCCTGTATAATTGTGCTGAAGGCTGTAACCTTCACTTGGCATAATGAGAAATTACTCCCTTGTGGGAAAATTATGTCCTGGTGATACCATCTCTTTAAAAAAAGCCACAAAACGTGCTTAAAGATTTCTTGGAAACGTGAACTAGATGACCTCCCAAGGTGCCTTCCGACCTGATTTGTTCTGTGTTTCTATGCTGCTGCTGTTTGTTCATACAGTATTTGGCAGGATAGAGTCCCAGTTCCTAACTGAAGCCACATTGTGCAGGGCAGCGATACATCCCACTGAGCTGGAGGAGGTGGAAGTGGAGTGAGACACAGCCACAAGATCAAGTGGTGTGTTACAGCACAGGGTGTGTTACTGTCAGCCTGGATTACTGAAACAGCTTCAGCCTCTTTTTCCTCTCTGTGGCAACCCCAAATCTGCTTGAGCACTACTATCACGGTACAGTCTATGTGAAAATAGGCACGGGTAAATTGTGAAGGCCATTTTAAATTGTATTTAGTGCTTTTTTACATGTATTGCAAACACGTTTATGCAGTATCTCATTTATATCCTTTAATATTTATTTATCTCAAAGTGTGTAACAATTTTAGCTACTACTACTGTTTCTTCTCCACAGGGAGAGAAGCGGAGGCACCTTAAGACCTACATTTTCATGCTTGCTTGACTTGCAAAACAGCAGCCCACCTCTTCAAGACTTCTAATTGTCAAATCTTGTGAAAGTGTTAGTGCATTTTGGTACTGAAATGATGACTACTCTAGAAGGTGATTACAAATTGTTTTAGGTTCTTTTTATGCTTGGCTATCTGAAGTTAGCCCTTGCAGCCATTAGACCTACTTATATATTTCTGTTTACAAGTTTTGGCATGTTGCAAGGGGGTTTGGATATGTAGCTTCCATTGTTTCCAGTTATGTAGTTAATCAGTGGAAAGGCCTGAAGGAGAGACAGCACAGATTATTTGACCCAGTGGCCTGGTGATGGATTTTTTTTTTTTTGGACCCCATGCTTCTACACTTAAGAGTTTAATTCTGTGGCACTGAGGTCAGTGAAAATGTTACTGACTGTGGTGGGAGCAAAATACTCAGGCTGCTAATAGTGAGCTGTGAGAGAGCAATGGTATGTTTGTCGCAAGAGAACGACACATGATGACTAACACACTGCATAAAGAACTGCTTTTCTACAGCAGCATTAATTTTGACATCAGCTTGACCTTCAACTGATCTGTGTAGCTCAGTCAAGAGCATTTGCATGATGTGCTTACCTGGTGAAGGCTCTGGTGCCCTCCAGCATGGTATGCCATGCTATGCCCAGTCCTGCGGCAGCAGCAGCAGCAGCATGGCCATGTGGAGCACCTGGGAAGTGATGGCCGAGAGCTTGTTTGCCAAGTGAGAAGCCTCACTGGTGGTGTACTTGAAAACGTGATTAATGAAAGAGTTTGTGATGTTCGGTTTTGGAGGAGAGCCACTGTTGGTGTGGACCTTGTCCAGCATTTGTATACATAGGTGGAGTAGCTGTGCTTCCTGTTCTTGCTGTGCTTCTTGTCATCTTTCTTCTGGGTCTTATTCTTTTGTGCCCTTTTCAGGGACTGGAGGGGGCATGGCTGTCTCAGGTTTTTGCATATTGATCTATTTCTGACAAACAGAAGAAGTGATTTAGGATTCCTGTTGATACAAATCTCAATCTCACACTTTACTCTGAAAGTCAGTGTTGGTCAGTTCCTGTGAAGCTGACACTCTCTTTGATTAATCACTTATTTCCTATCTCTTAAGTGTTTCTGAACTGACTAATGCCCTTTTTATTATTCCTCACTAGCTGTCAAGACGAAGCAAAAGTATACTAGTGTGCATGAGGCAGTGAAAGCTGGTGATGTAGAGCAGCTTGCGTCAATGATAAAAAGTGGAGCTGGTATTAACGAGGTGGATTTAGTCCACAAATTCACACCATTGCACTGTGCTGCACACTCTGGAAGTCTGGAGGTAAAACATTTTATTAGTGTTCAGACACAGCAAGGTTTTTGTAAGTTGTTTTCCTTCTCTGGGAGAGGCTGGACACAAAACTGCTAGCTTTGATCAAGCTAAATCAATAATCTCTGCTTGTTTTTCTCATTACATACATTCAGCAAGAGCAGAAGTACAAGATTTTAGATTTTTATTTTCCCCTTCTGAAGCCTCGGGCAGTTTATGGAGTCAGTATTGCCAGAATTTACCAAATCAGTGATTTTCTTACTCTGAGCAAAATGTGTCTTATGACCTCCCATCCAGACTCATGACCTTCTTTTGTCACTGTTGTGGTTTTGCCTTCTCTTGGGACACCTAGAAAATCCCGTAGGGTGTATAAAATGTTCTGAAGGTGATTGAAACAGGTGAGAAGTGACATGAAAACATGTTCATTCTCTTTACCAATGTCCTGTCTCATGCCTCATTTTCTATATAAATAGTCCTAATACATTTTATTTTAATAAATGACACATTGAATATTGATGGAGAAATCAGCAGGTGCTTGCATTAATGTTTTGAACTTCCAGAAGGACTGAACTGCTGTATTCAGCACAACGTTCACCTTCTTGTTGCAGCCTCCTGGTACAATCTTTATAGCAATCTAACCTTGAAGCAATAATGCCATGAATAACCATATAAAAATTCATGTCCCAAAGGAAAGAGTTTAAAGTTCTTGTTAAACTCATGAAATAATAAGTGCAGTGCTGTTTCTGGAATGTACAGAAACTGTCAAGAAAATGCTGATCATCATGTGTTCGACCCTAAAAATAGATTGCTTACCCACCCTTTTCCGCCTCTATAAATTCTGCCATTTTTCATTTGACTCTCCTACTTTGCAATCAGTGTATTAGACTTTATTGAATTATCTGTCATCTATTTGTTGCTAAGCTCCTTGGTGGAAACAGTGGATGAACCAGAGCCGTAGGCTGGCCTAAAAGAACGTAATAAATCATAATAATATATAATAAAAGGTTTAAATTGGTCCTTTAGTTAGTTTTGGGTAGTTCATAAAGCTTTCCATTGCAAGCAAAAATATCTGTTGGATGAAGGTGAATAAAACAAAACTAGGCTGTGGAAGGATAAGAAGAGAGATGGGATTACACACACCTAAGAGGACTATTAAATTAAATCAGGCTTTAGATTTGGTTCATGGTATTTTTCCTGCCAGTAGTTTTAGCTGGAATTCAAGTGAGCTTGTTTGCATTGTTTTCTCCAATGCTTTTACCTCATGCCATGTGAATACTCTCACAGATTACATTTTAAATCTGGAAGAGTAAATTTAGGAAGCCATACTGTAAAATCAGTGCTGGGGTCTGAATTAGTAGGTTATTTGCACTTTTTGTACCCTTGGGTGAAATCTGAAAAGTCTAACTTACCTGTAACTTCCTAACACACAAATATCTGGCTAAGGCATGCTCTGAGCTGTCATATTTCCATTATGAAGTATTCCAATACTGTTTTGAAATGTAATATCGATTGATAAATTATAGCTAAAATGTGCCTCAGATACATGATAAGAATAGTTAAATAAACCCCTTTGGTTTTGGTTGAGCAGTGCCTTCACTGGTTGCTCTGGCATGGAGCTGATACAAGATGTGTAACTGCCAGAGGCTGGACAGCAGCTCACCTTGCGGCTATCCGAGGTCAGGATGCTTGCATGCAGGTACGCATAAATACTCACTCTCGAGTGAACATAAGTAGGGCTGAGCTTCCGTTTGGACAAATTCATTATGAAGATCAGCTGGGAGAGCTCCTAATGGAGCCATGAGTATCTCATCTTGATGTGGAATTTACATCTGGAATCAAGTCACTCTTGTTAAAACCAGTGCACTCACTTGCACCTTGCACTGTCTGTGCAAACAGATTTATTTTGTGTAGTTTGGGCCTTGAGGTCAGCCCAGAGATACTCTGCTGATCATCTCAATCATCCTGCTAGGCAATGTTTGCTTTTGCAGCTCGTGAACTGAACTTCTGTTTTGCATTTCTTTTAGGCTTTGTTAATAAATGGAGCAAATGCAGAAGCTGAAGATGATGGTGGGTGCACACCGTCACACTTAGCTGCAGCCCATGGGCAGTCTTACACCTTGCAAACCATACTGCGGAGTGGAGCGGTGAGAGACTTTTACCCGCAGTTCCCTAGCACAGAGCCAAAGTCTGGTATCTTTTCCATACAGAACTCCCTGGTTTAAACTGAGATTTAGGACTATAGATTAGTTACTGTTGGTGAATTTATTTTTAGGGTAAATTTCAATTTTTTTTGTAAGATATAATGGGGAAATGATGGAAAAGTAAGGAGAGAATCAATAATGTGAGTAAACCACATTCCACTGAGGATGTCATTAAATGAAGATCAGGTGCTGTGGTAGTTGTGATTTCTTGCAATTGTACAAATCTTCTGTAGTAAAGGAGAGACAAACTGTAAAAAAAATTAATCCAGATGCATATTTAAGGAATAATGACCAATGCAGCGATAGAAGTATGACTAAAAATGCAGCTTTTATGTGTGTATTATATAAATAAAACCAAGAACCTGTGAAAAGTCCCTATCTTGGAATGGGAACTGCATACATGGCATGAACTTTGGAAAACGTTACTTGGTTTGATTTAAAACCACAATGAACAACTGATTCCTATTTATAAAATTTATCTTGTGTCTAAGATTAATAAATTAATGAATTAACCTTCTGCTTTTCTTTTAGAATGTGAATGTTTCAGATAGGAATGACTGGAAGCCTGTTCATTATGCTGCTTTTCATGGTCGCTTGGGGTGTTTGCAGCTTCTTGTTAGATGGGGAGCGTGTATAGATGATGTGGATAACAATGGAAACCTTCCAGGTATATCAGGATAAATCATGCATTTTTTAACCTTTGGTTTACGGTTGTTGTGTTACGTGATAATTTAGCAAATGATAAGTGATTCACACCAGAAGCATTTGCTATTTGGTTCCATGCAGTCAACACATTCCATTTTTATAACGATGGGGAGATTAAAAAAATCCAAAGTATTTATCTGTCGGTGACAGTATCCTGTTCACTTCCTGCTGCTCCCTGTTCATGGGTGCTGGAACAGGGAGCAGGCTGAGCCTGGCTGAGAGCACTGTGTAGGTGGGCAGCATCTCTGTGCATGCGATGGAGCGCATGTGAGAGTGGAGGTGACAGGAGGAGAAGGTTAGGTGGAGCAGGAGGCACTTTCAGCTGCTAGGTGCTCCTGTTTGAATTTGTGCCAGGCTTTAATGGCTGTGCCAGTGTGACCAGATTCTGGCATGTTCATATGCAGGTTTTTGTATCCCACTGTTTTCTTAAATGCTTTGGTAAAACTCTTGATCTGATTCACCCGTGATTTCTTCATCTCGATTTCCAGAACATTGATATTTCTGTATTATCTGTAATCTGTACTCTTTTCATAATCATGAGTATAGTTGCTCTAGCACAAAAATGTGCAGCATTTTTCCAACATTCCTCTGCCTACCACGCTGCTGTCTCAATACCCTCTCTAAATTGAATGGTATTGTTTATATCCTGGGTTCTCATTGCATCCTTTCCCTTTTACCATTTTCCTTCTGGTTTGTCACATTATTTGTTCCAAATAGCATATTTTTTTTTGTCTCTAAGCTGTATGCAGTTAATTTTTAAGTCCTTTCTTGAAATTTTCTACCCTCTGTTAAGCATCACTTACCTAGCAAACTGATGATCTATCTTCTGCTTTGCAAACCTGGGTCTTATAGAAGGATGCAAGGCTCTTGCATCCCAGCAGGACATCAGGTGTATTAGCAATAAAGGGTTGTGATGTTAGGCACCCTGGTGGCAGCGTGGAAGGCAGCTTTAGTTGCATTTGGGAACATTTCCCTGATGACAGACTTTCATGGACAGATAGCAAATGCCAGCACAATTGTACTTAAGTGCTCTGTATATACTGGTTAGTCAAAAATTGTTGTTATTTTGACACCTACAGAAGCTTGTTCTTCCAGTCTTTGTTCTGTTCCTTTTGATCTTATTATCATCCAAAGGAAAGGAAAGGCTTTACATGGCTAAAAGATTAATAGGAGTGGTGTGCTGTACGGGCCAGCCTTTCCTTAGCTTGTGAAACAGCAAAGTGAACTGAAATCATCTTTACCTACTTCAGGTTCAAGATTAGCTGGGCAGTGCTATAATTTTTGCTAAGAGCATACTGGAGGATATTTACTGAGGTTGCAATGCCATACACCTAAACCTTGAAAACTGGCTACACCTTTTGCACGTGTGTGTTATAGCAGTGGCTTTAATTATCTGCAGCATGCTAATTTTTTGGAAGAACCGTGACTCATTCAACATACAGAATGGGCTGGATTTATTAATTCAACATTTTGGCTTTGATCTGTATCGGGATTTGGCCATATCCGTGCTTCTTTTCTTGCTCACTAGTCAAACCTGTTCTAAATATAGTATTAATTTAATCGTAGCACAACATCCGAATTTTTCAGAGACACTGGTTTTTAGCTTGCAACTTTGAGAAGAGTGAATAGTGTTAGCCTGGTTGTATAAAATGTGAGATGAAGCACAGAAAAGTTGCGATACCAGCGCCAACTACCCACTGCCTGTTTGTGATGCCTGAGACAAGGTTTTTCAAAGTTCTTGGCACTAAGTTGTGTATTTTGTGTTAATGTCACAGTACCCTTTGGCTTTAGTCTCAAGTGCAAGGGCTCAGCATACCTGGGGTTGGGACGGCACAGCTACATGTTGGGCACTGGCTACTAAGAAAGACCTGCGTTAAAAGCCACCTATGAAAATCTCCTCTATGTATCTTCCACAGCATCCTACTGAAACTGTGCAAAAAGACCTGCACGGAATATAATTCTTTAATCTATTTTTCCCCTTGCCATCTTTGCAGAAAATGTTGAGCTTTTCTGACTGCGTTCTGCACAGAAGAGGCATCTGATTTAAAAAACAAAAAGTTTCACCGCAAGAGGTGAAGTTTTATCCCTGAGATTTTAGGCATCTGAAAGTGGATTCATAAGGGTTGAGTCAGTTTTTCACCAGCTGACGTGTAATCAGTATTTAGCTGTAACAAGGGACCGCTTCTTTTCACTTCTTCCTGAGTAACTAACTCACTGAATAAAATAAAGGCAATGGGAAAAGCTGCAGTGGTTTCAGTGAGGCTCAGATTGTGTTGTGTCAAATTTTAGCAATCATCTATACCTAAGTATGTCATCTTGCTGTAAAACCAATATCCATCACCTTTTAGAGCAATTATGCTCTGGAAAGCTGTGGATGGTTTGCAATAGAGAACTTGTACGTGCTGAAACTTAAGTGATGTGGGTTGATTTTTTTGGTCCTGGGTACGTTGTTTGTTAAGTATGAAGATAATTTTCTTCTCACCTGGAGACAAACTAATCCTTTTGCCACATCAGCCAGCTTTTCCAGAGCACTTTCATGGAGTGATAACACACAATAACACATAACACATTTGTCAACTTCTTCTCATTAACGGGATTAGAGAATACTGCTCATTTAAAAACAGTAAGCATGCGTTTTATACTGCTTACTTTATTATAGGCCCTGCACTCTGTTAGTATTAAATAACTAAATCTCAGCATAGCTTAAAGGCAGGAGAGGAAGTACTTGACCTCTGCAGGAAGCAGTCATTGCCACGGTGAGGTGGAGCAGCTCCTGCACACAGCAACTGTCTAGTTGAAAAAGTATAACGTAATGCTGTGAATAGAAGCCTCTGTCATGGGGGGATGTACCTTCTAATACTTCACCCAGCAAAGTGAATGTTACTGTCCTTGTTTTATAGGTGGGGCAGCTGAGGGTGTGATGCACCTTGTTTGGGTGGCACAGTAGAGGTGGGACTAAAGCAGAAGTGGCCTTATCTCCTAATCAAGGACACTGCTTGCTGGCCATCTGTAATGAACATCCCTAGGACAGTGAGGTCAGGCAGCTGCTGAAGAGTGAGATTTGTGTTCGTGGGGAAGAAGAGACCCCAGCAGTGCACTCTCCTAGCTCATGCTCAGTGGTCTCTTGGCAGTGTTGTGTTGTGTCCTGCAATCAGCTCTGCCAGGGAATCTTCTCTGCAAATCCTGTCCTTGACAGCTTTCACCTCCTTTGACTAGAGCTGAACTCTTGTCCTGGATAGGAGCAGAACATCCCCTGTTCAGCTGAGGCTGCTCCTCCTTGTGCAGTGTTGGATGGCTTCAGCTCTGGTAGATGAGCCACATGTAACCAGCAGTGAGAGCCTGCTATCTTGGTGGGCAGCAGTGCTCTGCTCTAACATACTTTGCTTCACCTTGTGCTATAGCTCATCTGGCAGCGGTGGAAGGACACTTGCATTGCTTTAAGTTCTTGCTCAGTAAAATGGCCAGTGTCACACACACTCTGAAAGCCAGGAATGACCAAGGAGAGACTCCAAGGGACTTGGCTGAACGCTTCTATAAAGATAATATTCTGCAATATATTGATGGTGTGGAAAAAGGGGGAGAGCATCTGGAGACACAGGAAGGTGAGTATAGATCAAGATACTGTTAAAACAGGCATTGTAATTCTATAGAAATGCTTGATTTTGAAAACTTGTATGAGCAAAAGTATAACATTTAAATGAGTGGTACAAGGAAGAGCAGTTCTTTTCAATGCTTGTTACACTTACTGATTGCTAAAGACTGGGATACTATGTGATTTTATAAATGTCTTAGGTTTACCCATGTTCAAAATAAAACTTGTTGCACTGTTTTGCACTAGGGATACCAAGTTATCCATGTTCTTCTTAGACTGCAGCAGAGATCCAGAAAAACTGTATGATTTTCATGAGTTTGCAGATCTGCCTACTCAGAATCCCTTAGTTGCATTGAACAGCAGCTTAACCTGGAAACGGCCCACCGAAGTTAAGGTTACTTGTTGTCCAACAATACTATTGCAGTCAGAACAGCTGAAGGATGCAAGTGTGGCAAGGTCTGTAAGGAGAACCTCCAACACAGCAAGGACATGAGAACTGCACCTTCACCTTTCTGCTTTTTCCAGGCACTTACTGTCCTTATCTGCTAGGTTGTTTTTCATTTTGCATATATGTATATCTGTTAGTACTCCCTGTCTATGTAAAATAACTAGAAAAATCAAATTGTCCATATGGGTAGTTTTTAAACAAGGAGAAGTGAAGTAGTTTATATATTTGGTTAGACTATGGAATTCAAAATAGGCAAATTACTCCAGTTACTACCAGTAATACAACATCAACTGTAAAAGAAAGGTATACTTGTTTTGGGTTTATGAAATTAATCTCTTAACTGTTATGCCTGTAGCCATAACCAAGACATGTTTAGTCAAGTCTGTGATGAACAAGTGCTGGTTATGCAGCTGCATTTTACCTGATTAAGGGTGCATATACCTTGCTAGCTACAGCTATGAAGTGTCCATGCATAAGTTGCTATGAGAGAGGCAAGCTGTGAGAGACAAATACAGCAAGTTTAGTAGAATTACTGGCATCTGTTTGGAAACACATGCATTTCATTTTCAGTTTTAGCTTTCCCAGCTCATGGTGCTGCTTTCAAAGGGGACTTGTTAGCGCTTAGAAGATTAGTGAGAAATGGAGTAATCAATGTTAATGAGCGGGATGATAAAGGATCCACTCTCATGCACAAAGGTCAGTAATTATGATCTGTGTTTCAGCTTGTTACTGTTTGTTGCTGACTTGTTTACTTAGTTTTTCAAGTGGCTGCTCATCAGATAAATGTAATGAAAAACAGCATCTCATTTCCTGAGAGCTCAAAAGGGCAACCCCAAAAAACGTATTTTGTGAGGTATGTGTGTGTAGGTGTCACTTTAAAAACAAAATAACCAAGCTGAAGTCAAGAAAGAAGAGTTTATATTAAAGAGAAAACATCATCTAAACTGAAAACTAAGTAAGTTGTTTTTATGAGGTGAGATGTGACTTTTAGAAACATTGGCTGGCTGGCGATAAGAATGATCTGTGTGAGAACTGGGCCTTTGTCTACTGAACATATCAGTACAGTGAAGATGTGTTGTAAAAACCACAGCAAAGTCATTTGGTAGGATGCTGAGAAGGAAGGTAAACTTCTGGTTTCTGACACCTTGATATGTAGTGGAGTTCTGGCATTACAGAAAAATGGCTCTTGTGTTGGGGGTTTCATAGTAATGTCTGAAAGAAGAAAAAGAAATAGGACAGGAAAGAGGGAGGCATTTTTGTAATAATGCTTTTAACACTATTTCCCACATTTCTTTTTGACTAGATAGAAATGGTAGAATTTTTAAAAACATTAAAAAAATTAATATGTAGTGATTTAAAAAATGTTTTCTACATTCTTTCTCTTTCCTTGGAATGGTGCTAACCTACAATTGTTTCATCCCCAATCTTTTCATGCAATGTTGGTGTTATGGGGAAATACTACAGCTGATACTGTAATTTCATTTCCTTATCTCAGTAAGAAAATAAATATGGCAAACTTCCAAAGGGGGTGCTGTCAAGAAATGGATTTCTTCCTTGAGAAAAACAGCTTACAGGTTTCTGCTAGACACACCAAATACCACCTTCCATATGTGAGATGTTGTTCCTGGCACCACCTGATATGAGCAATAGCCATGCCAGATCCTATGAGTAGGCAAAACTGTTGTGTTAGGCTGCAGCTGAAAAGCGTTGCCTTGAGTGTCTGGCCCAAGAAATGGGGTACCTGTAGCCCCAGAACAAAGCCCTGTCTTCTCTCCTCTGTGAGACAGCATCACACACCACAGACCAGGGTGACCAGCTGTGTCTGGTAGATGGGAGCCCAAAGCCAGAGAGAGGGGACAGCGCTTTGCTGCAAAACTGTGACGCATAGGCCTTACTGCACGAGGCATGGCAGCAGTTATTTGTGTGTCTTATGCTCAGCACAGTTAGTTTAACTTTTGTCCAGGAAGAGTTCCAGTAGAATTCTAGAACTAGAAGGAGTCACAAAACCACACTGCGTGATCTTCCCCCAAACTGTGAATACCTATGTGACTTGAGCATCTTGACATACAGGGTTCTCTTGAAATAGTGTCTCCCCTGTGGTGTCTTAGTGAATCCAACCTCTGGCATGTCAAATAGTGACAAAAGGAGGACATTTTAGGTTTGAAACACTTCAGTTGTCTATAACTGTCTTGTGTGCACGTTCCTTCCCTCAGCTGCTGGACAGGGGCACATCCATTGCTTACGGTGGCTGATGGAAATGGGAGCTGATTGTGACATTACGAATGATGCTGGAGAGACTCCAAAGGATGTAGCCAAGAGGTAGAAGTACATAGTCTGTAGCTGTCATTTATTTATATATTAATATAATGTCATCTTTGTTGGAATTAATCCTGTTTTTCAGGGATGGAGCAAGAACAGATCAGGCCCATGAATTCCAGCTCTGAGTGATAAGCAAAGCTTTATTGTAGCTATCAAAGGTTTTAATTTTCACTTAATTTAATTTAAGGAGGTTTTTAACAAGGTCAGACATAAAAGGTGAAAACTAGCTGATCTATAAAAGGAAAGTTGTGAGGCAATATGTTCACAGTGTGCTGTACAAAGTAAGTGAGAAGTAGCACAGGCTGGCTGATTTTTGCATTAATAAAATAATGCAGTTTCTGATAATATTCAATTAAGAAATTCTGCAAAGAAAAAGATACTTCTGATGTAGGAGTCATTGTTATAAGATTCCACTGAGCTAGAGCTCATTCCATTGGAATACTGCAAAAAGCAGATGAGCTGTTCATAGTTTGTGTACCAGTGCTTCCTTTAATCCTGAAACTCCTGGTGATAAATGGCAACATGAAGAGTTTCAGAGAGCTTCTGTCAATCACATGCATGTTTCCAGATGATGGGGTTATTTCAGTGTAGATTAACTGTTCTCTGTCCAGATTTTCCCAGCTGGCAGCTGTGGAACTGTTGACACAAAGAACTGGAGACAGCAACTCTAGTGATGAAGAACTAGATGCAAACAACATAAAGTTTTTTGAAAGACATGGTGTGGAAGGGAGTACGGATAGCAAAGAAGATTTAACCCTGGATAAAGCAGAGAAAAGGAACGCACGCAGTAAGCAGTCTTTCCATCAATCCTTGTTTGAAAAAGATTGTCTCGAGACATTATTGTTCTAGTTGCACAGTTTCTGCCAACTGCTGTGACTTTTGTTATGAGATACAGGATATCTGTACCACCAAGCAGTCAAACAAATTGTGGAAAACTAGCATAGCAGAGGGCAATCAGAATTAAAATTGTTACACTGTTTTAATCTGTGTTTGCTGAAACCATGCTGGGTTGCTACTTGGTTTTGAGATCTGTTTGCTGTGTGGGTGTCAGGCATAGCTCAATATTTGCTGAGCAGCATGTTTCCTGCTCTGTGTTTGTGAGATTATTTTCCAGACTATTGGATTCCAGCATGACTGTCTTCTGGATTTTACTGACCTGGAGAACTCTGTCTTACAGTAAGGGCCTATGGCAAGATTCAAGAAATTAAGCAACTTCTAGAAATTGCTAACAGCAATTACAGACAGCTGGGTGGAATAACTGAAGAGGAGAAGAAGATGAAAAAAGAAGAAAGAGAAGCTGAGAAGTAAGGTTAATTTGCCCTGCTAACACTTAACTCTGTGAGGCTGGTTTTAAAGCCTTTTTTAAGGCTAACTTACACTCAGATTGCTTTGGCCATTCTGTCCTTTTCACTTACCAACTTTAGCCAGGTCAAAAAGAAATGTGACTTCAGCAATTTGTCTGACCATTTCTAAACTTCTACCAGCAGGATCAGTCCCACAGCACAAGTGTTTGATGGGTCCACACTTGTTGTGCAAGGTCATCTGTTTGTTCTTCAGGTTTTCCTGCAGCATATGTGCAGTAGGTCTGATAAATCCTGGATGTTTTGTTTGCATTGAGGATGACAGATACATGTATGCACTTTAATAAATATGAAAAAAGGCATTAGTCTTAGCATGGCTTGGATGGAAGTGCATATACAGCAGAAATTATTCGAAGACCTGCTACGTTTCTGTGTCAAGGGCAATATATTTCTATGCTCAAGAAGGCATTAGCTCATATCCAACCACAGCAAAAAGAAATCTCAGCAAACCTGCCCTTGCACGTGAAGCATTTTTCATAATGTCTGTCTGATTCTCAGGGTCTCCATTAAATGAAAGGGTTTTGTTAGACTGGTCAGGTGATTTGATGGGCAGACTGTCTTAAGTTTCAAAGAAAAGCCCTTCTGTCTGTCAAAGATTCAGAGCTTAAACTATGATGCAGCATCTGAAAGGCAGCCCTGTCTCCACCTCTACCTGTCAGAGATTTGGCTAGCCCCTGTTCTCAGTCTCTCTAGATAACCATGTCTGTTATGTGTTTGGGCCACCCCAAACCACTGTCTTGATTTGGTCACTGAGAGGAGACTGTATCCAGACAGCTTGCATGGCACTGAGAAAGCAGCAGACTTAGCAGTCTGGAGCAGGTAATAGGTGTCACAGATTTGAACTAAGTAGTATTTCAGCCAGGAAACTGTGGTCAGGATTTTTTTTGGCTCACCCTTTGTCTCAGCCCAGGCTGAAAGTTCATCTTCCTTAACTTGATACATCTGCAGTGTAGATACTTGCATACCAGTTAGTTACCTTGAGCTCCTTTTTAGACTTCTTGGAGAGGTGTAGGCACTTCCAGGGCATAATTGGACAGTACTCCAGGATGAGATTCATCACTTCTAGGAGTGTCTCTCCTGGCTTTAAATGAGGGTGACCAGCTCAGATGTTGATGCCTACGTTGGAAGGTCAGACCAATCTGTTTGCAATGATGGAAAAGTTGCTGTTGACTAGTGGCAGAAATTAGAGTGCATTTTGGATAGAGCAGCTACTCAAAAGCTAGCAGTCCCTGTTAGGGGGCTCTGATAAGGCTCTTTAAGGGATTTTGCTTTCTGTGGCATGTGTAGCTAAACTAGAAAAATTGTGGGGATCTTTGAAGGGTCTCTTCCACCTGTGGAGGCCAGAAAGCACCCCTAGCTCCACACTGGCCTTCTGAAATGGAAATACTGCTGCTCAGCATACCTACCTGCCTTCTCAGGGTACCTACCTGTGAATAAGACCCAAGATGTTTGTATCATATGCCAGAAAACCTCATTATTTAAAAATATTTAATGACAACACCATTTTGCTAGATGGAAAACAGGAGTTGCCACTTGGGAAGGCCACTGTAGCAGGTATTGAAGGTTTCTGCTTTAATCCAGGTTTTCTGGCTGTAAGAGCCCTGGTGTGAACCACTGCACAATGCTTTGACCAGGCTTCATTGCATGGAAAAAAATGCCACCATGTGTGTGCCACACAGTAATGAGACACGCTCCAGAAATCTGAAGCATGCAAGAAGTCAGCCTGTCCCCCCTGAGCACTAATTTCCCAGCATAAGCACAGGCCGTTCTTTCAGTGTCAGTAAGGCTGCTATAGCCTGCGAGCTTTGGGCTGCCTGAGTCAGGAGTACTTCAGCCCGGGAAATGCGGTAGCTCTTGCTGAGAGCTTTCCTGCTGTGCTGTGTGAATCCACAGGGCAGACATCTCCCTTTTCCTTTTACCAGTCTTCCATCTTTGTAGCTGTGCTAATTCATCCTGAAAGAGTTGGAGAGCCAGCTCAACTCCACATGACTCAGTTGCTGAGGTCAGTTGCTGTTATAATCAGAATTTACGTGAATTTTGTCTCCGCTAACCAGTTCCAGGAATCTCAATTAATTTAGGAGCCGTTGTGGGTGTGACCGATGAGATCTTGGGCAACTGTCTACCAGCCAGTGCTTCAGTTTCCATTTCGTAGGTGTCATGCAGACTGTTCGTTTGAGTACTCCTCATCTGTGGTGAAGCCAGTCCATAGGAAGGGTGGAGAGGCACCAGACGTAAATGAAAAAGTTGCCTTTGACACCTCAGGAACCCCAGTTTTATGCTTTATTTCTCAGTTTCATCCTAACCTTTTTGCTCCTGGGGCACTTCTCCCTCTTCTGCAGCTGGAGATGAACCTGGGTTACAGCCTACCCAAGGCTCTAGCGTTGGCTCAGTGTGTGGGAAGACGTCTCCATCTCGCGGTCAGGTTGCGCTGAGCACAGCTGTCAGCAAAGAACGAAAACCAGCTCGTTAGGGCTGTTAGAAAGTGTCCTGAGCCGGGAGCATGCTGTAGCTCTCACCAGCACAGCTGGTGTGAGGAGCACTGCATTGCTTTCTGCTGTGAGCAGCCTTAGCAAAGGCACGGGGACGCCCTGGAGCAGCCAGGGTAGGTTTGCGTGTGCTTTGTGCTCTGCTTGTCCCCTTTGCTTCTGGCAGGGCTGTGAGGGAGCTGGAGGCCCAGCTGGAATACGAGCGAGTCAGGCGGGAGAAGCTGGAGAGCCAGCTGGATGACTGCCGTGCTGAGATAAGCCATCTTAGAGAGAGCCTGGAGAAAACCTGCGTCCCCCCTGCTCTCCCCGTGGTGAGTGTGTGCCACAAAACCCCCTCCAGCGCGTGGGACAGAGGCTGCTGCCCATTGCTTGTGGTGTTTGCTATCTGAGAGTCCCAGGCGTGGTGCTAGCAAATACTGGAGTAAATGTGTTAGCAGCTTTTGGCTTGGGATGCTGAAGTGAGCAGTAGCCTTTGTTGCATCCTGTTGCGTTTCTCTGCTGTGAAAGGATATCAGTTTCTCTTTGTGCCCTGGCAGAGAAGCACTGATATTCTGATATTTTCATATTTTCATACTAACAAAAGGAGTGGACTGATCCCTGAGTACTTCCATGCTGCCTGTGCAGTGACTGACAGTTCATCTTGGCTGGTGCCTGGTTTCAGAGCCTGGACTGGTGCTCCAGGACAGGTGTTGTCACCACCTAAAGGGTTACCCGGCCTGTGGATGGGTAGAGACCACAACCTGGGTTTGTAGGATTCTGTAATCCACAAGGACACACAGGCTTGTATTCTCTAAATTTCTCTGCTTTATTACAGGTTACCGCAAATACCACAAAAATCACCACCAGCAAGTATACTACCACAAAATCACCACTGGCAAGTATACCTATGATTAATAAAGCAAATATATATCAAACTATTAGAAAATACTGTTAGCAATCAGGAATATAGTATCGATCAGTAGCAATCAATGAGAAGGCAACAATCAGTAGTATATCAGTAACCAGGTATATACTATTAGAGGTTACTACAAACTTAGCATTAGTGAAGCAAACTTACCAATAACGTAACAGCTGATATATTTATGATTGATTACCTCTAAGGGTATATAATATTGATATAAAGTGAATTAGATTTCAGAAGGGGTCAAACTATCCCAGAGGGAAGGACAAAATGAACCCCAAAAGTGGGTCCAGAGGGGGACCAAGAAAATAACAGGGTCTCACTTCAAAGGTGATCCACATCACAGCATCTGAAGGGAGCCAGGCATCCCAAGTGAGAGTCCGGTCTCTTAGAAAGCTTGTGCAGAGAATTCAGCTTGTTTAGGAAAGGAAAAGTATGTGTGTCACAGAAAGTTTTCCGAGGGAGAGTCTTCATTTTTGCATTATATCATTTAGATATTATAAGAGATGTGAAAGGGTGGAGGACACGCCATTGCAAGCAGCCAGTAGATGCTGACGTTTCTCATTTTCTACTTTTCACCTGTAACAGTCAATAGATGATGAAGATTCTCTCCTTTCAGATATTTTTTTTTCCAGACTGTTTTCTACCTTTTCAGACAATAAACTGTCTTTACAGTCACTTGATTTTGCACTTATTGGTGGTATCTCAGGATGCCTCTGATTTCTAGGTACCACAGCTGTACTTCAAAGAGACCAGCTGCACTTTTCAAGGATGTTTCTTGATCCCAGCCTCACAGTTCCCAGGCTGGCAGACATTTTCCTTGTCAGTATTCTTCAGCAGGCAGTTTCTTCTGTTCAGTAATTTTCCCCTTCTAACCAGCTCACCTTTCTGGCCGCTCACATCAGGTATCACCCCCAACTGTCATGGTTTGTAGCAATCACAGCACATGTAGGATATTTCTTTTGCTTCAGAACTCTCCTTCAGAACTGTTTATTTTCTTCTCTTTTACACCACACTGGGAAAGGAGATCTGTAGTAGAGTGTTGTGCTGCGGTGTGCAGTGCCTGATGCAGTCTGTTCTCATATGCCATCTGCTATCATCTTCCTTATCAAGCCTGCTGATAGCAGAGAAGGTGTAGGTATGAACTATCGATTGGCTTAGCAGGCAAAGACAGAAAAATTGTAGCTTTTTTAAAAATCAGATCTTGAAGACAGATCCGAAGTTCACATGCTAACTTTGGGGACAGCAGAGGTGACACTTCAGACCTTGCCCTGCCACGTAACTCCCCCAAACTGACGTGACAACCAAGACCCCGTTTTTCAGATCTTTGCTATCCAGTCAGTCAGCAGCCTTGGGTGAGGCACCTGAATTCCTCCTGCTGTGGGTTGTGGGAACTGGTGTGTGCTGCGGGCACTGGTGGTTCTGCCAAGGGTACAGCTGGTGGAAAAGGCTCATGGCCCTGTCAGCCTGGGCCGTTCAGTGCTGTTCGTGGAGCTTCACTTAACTGCCTTGACCATTGTCCTGCCTTGGCTGTGTAACTGTTTATAGGGCCCTGCTATAACCAGTATAAAAGTTAAGTGAGGTCTTTCAGATTTAGCTTCTTCCTCTGCCTTGAGGAGCTGACAATATCCCTCATCCCGGGGGGACATTCTAACCAGCACAACGTCTGCTTTTCCCTGCTGGCAGCTGTGCAGAGTGACCACTGTACTTCGATTTTCAGTGGTCCAGAGGGAGTGAGTAAGAGCGACCAGCATTATAAGCCGATTATTAGGGCAGTCATGCAGGAGGGGGAAGCTGGCACCCCTTCACATGAAACATGTATGCATTTATTGGAGGAGAAATTGGGTCACTGGATAAAAGGGGTAACATTACTGCTGCCTTCAGCCAGGTTTGAATGAGGCCCAGGTGCTTGGAGTCTCCCTACTAGATAATGATCCTTTTCTGAGTGTGAGGGGGAAGAATGTTTGATGGATGCTCTGAGCAGGAAACAAGCAATTACAGCTCAATTTTGTTACCATTTAAGCTGTGTGTGGATTTCGCCACTGAAACATCTAGGGTGTTTCAGGCCCCTTGAGAGCAGAGCCGATGCTACTCCCAGGCAGCTGGGAGCAGGAGCTGTGGACTGTGTTGTGCTGCTCGTCCTTGGAGGACAGAGGCATTTCCATCCCAAGAATTTTATTCCCCTGTTGCCATCGTCTGATCCCAGGCTAACGTGGTACACCTGCGTGTGCAGCATGACCTGATGGCATTTAGCTGCTGTAACTCAGAGCAGTGAGGCCTTCAGGTGGCTGTGGTGCCCATGTCACACACGTGTGCAGGGTGCTGGCTTCACAGCCTATGTTCAGACTTGCCAATGGGTGCCTGGGCAATGCAATGTGCTCCGGCAAACCACACTGCATGGTTCTGTTCTTCTCCCTCTATTCCACCCTCCCTGCATCCTCCCTCCTGCCCACCCTTGCAAGATTCCTTCTGTGCCTTTCCTGCCCCAATGGGCCTTTTTTCCCCGCTTTCCTTCAGCCTGCGCCAGCTTTCCCTGCTACCACATACAGGCTGCAATGCTCCTACAGCTGTTTGCTCCCCGCTGTAACCTTGGGACTGATCTTTCCCATGCTGCTGAGACCCCCAGGCCAGCCAGGTGCCTCCACCTTTGAAAGAAAAGCCACTTTCTGCTTCCACAGCTCGCTTTAAAGACATTACCCATTCTACTCCACTGGCAGGTTTAGGAATCTAGGACAGCTATGGCACAGAGTGCCCCATTTCTAGGGTGGAAGAGTGGCTGTAGTTATATTTTTTTACCAGCCTGAAAAAGTCCAGTTGGGCATTAGGTTAACTAGCTGGGGCTGGAGACAACTTCTACTGAGGCAGGTTTGTTTTCAAAAACTTCTGACTGCTACAACCAAGGGGCCTTCAAATCTCACCCTGCTGTGACTGTCATCCCATGCCCTGGACTTCAGTTTTAACACAATAATCCTTACTCAAAGCCGTCTATTTTTAAATCCTGTCTTGTGAGGTAGCAGGTTTAAGTGATTGTTATTCAATGGCTACAATGTCTTTTGTTTCAGGAAGCTGAGACCATCTCAAAGTCTTGCAAAGAGAAAAAGAAAGTAAAGAAGAAACCAGCCTACAGCCCTGGAGGAGTGTTTGTGAAACTGCGCTGAGGTGTGAAACTCCAGTGAGGGGCAGGCAGAGTGAGGAGATAGAATGGGAATATTCTAGACAATGCAGTGTTTGCATAGCCCAGCTCCACAGATGACTCATTTTCTGCATTCCACCAATTTTTTTTTTCCTCTGGGATAGAAAATAAAGTCACAAAAGCAGCATTTTTAATAGCAAAAAAAAAAAAAAAAAAAAAAAAAAAACTTCCTGTCCAGGTAGTAGTTTAGCAACAGCTTTGCAGACTATAGGGTGAGATTTCAAGAGTTAACTGCAGCAATGGCATAGGCCCTCCTAGGTCTGGAAAAATATTCTCCTGTACTAGTCTGTTTTGTACTATTACCTTAGGAGGGGAAAAATAATAAAAGCACCTTACCTCCTAAAATAACCAGATAGGGCCTTCAGTGTGGAACCAGAATACAGTCTCTGGGAGTAGTTCTCAGGTGCAGACTGGTGCCAGGCCACTTGATTTTCATCTCTGTCATTTCTAAATAACCAGGAAGCAACTCCTGTGTCAGGTGCCAAGTGAACAGCAGTGATGGGGCTCAGTCTGACTGAGGGCTGAGGAGCTCACTAGGTCATGGGGCACACTGTGGTAGAGACAGCAATCCTAACCTCTCCTCCCATGCCTAAGAAACATTTTGTGACTTCACATATAAAGATTTTTCTCTAATCCATGTGCTATTGTGAAATTATTTTCTCCTTGGAACCCTCATTGTGCATATTTTTAAAAGCTTTTATTTCAATAAGAAATCCTTGCACTGTAAGGTTAGTTTGGCTAGTGCTTGAATCCTGAGCTGCCCTCTCCTTCCTTACTAAAGGAAACAATCTCTGAGAATTTCCAAGGTTCTGGTTTTGTGTGCACAATTTTGAGGGAGAGGCATGCTGAGAAACAGCATAAGCCTTCTACTGGCTGAAGAGAAATCCAGCCTCCAGAGCCCACTTCAGTGCATAGGGAGAAGCTGCAGCAGACGAGCTATTTCCTACATCACTGTTGGTGCTGAACTCTCATGTAGGAACACTGCAAAAGATCAGTCCGAGTCATTCCACGTCCAGAGGGGGGCAGCAAGGCTGGTGAAGGGTCTATCTAGAGAGCAAGTCTTAGGAGGAGCAGCTGAGGGAACTGGGGTTGTTTAGTCTGCAGAAAAGGAGGCTTAGGGGAGACCTTATTGCTGTCTACAGCTACCTGAAAGGTGAGGGGGAGTTGGTCTCTTCTCCCAAGTAACAAGCAATAGGACAAGAGGACCTCAAGTTGCACCAGCAGAGGCTTAGATTGGATATTAGGAAAAATTTCTTCACTGAAAGGATTGTCAAGCATTGGAACAGGCTGCCCAGGGAAGGGGCTGAGTCACCATCCCTGCAGGGACATGGTTTAGTGGTGGACTTGGCAGGGTTAGGTTAATGGTTGGACTTAGTGCTGTCTTACAGGTGTTTTCCAACTTAAATGATTCTATGATTTTGAGAACCTTAGAAATGGTTATAGCTTACCAGAAGACGGATTTGTACATGAAACAGTTACAACAGACACAAGGGGCTGCCAACACCCATGCCTGTTTGACAGAGACAACAGAAAAAGAAGCTTCACTTGCCAGCGTAACAGCACTGTGCCTGTTTACAGGCTGGCAATGTCTATTCAAGGCCCTCAAGGTAGTCACACAGCAAACATAAGAAATTAATTTTATTTTCTTAAATGAAGATGATAAATAATTTAATGCACAGAGTATAAGAACTGGCAGGATACCAGCAAGTTCAACTGTAAACAGAACAAAACCGCAATAACAAATTGCCACTAACTGGTCCTACATACCCTTTAGCCCACAAAGGGCCTACTCTTACTTTCCTGTTGCGAGGGGTCACCACCAGCAGTGAGGAGAGCTGGTGTCCCCCACGGCATAACAGAGCAGTGCGGAGGAGCACGGAGATGGGAGGAGGGTGACCACTGCCACACAGGCACCACCGTTTCTGTGTTTGTTTCCATGTTACAAGCCAGATCCTACGCACGGAAAACACGTGAGGATTTATTGGAAATACTCTGCCCTACTTGAAGGGAGGAGTTAAGAGCACTTATCTGCCCCACGGCTGCACACAGTTGCTGAGAGTGGAGGCATTTCCCTCTGGAAAGACAAAGAAGTTCTCCCATTCTGTTGACCTCTGGGGTTACGAAACTTGCAAAATATTCTAAAAAAAGGAAATCTATGGAGACATTTTAGTTCTACATGAGATTTTACATTTATGGAAACCAGTTTTCAGGAAAAACAAGGATTCTTTAGTAAAGGCCTTGGAGTGTGTGTTATAAAGAAAACCAAAGGGCCATGCTTCAGTCAGGAAAGAGGAACAGACCAAAGACAAAAATACAGATCCTATACTTAAGATTAATTTACCTGGATCAGAGTATATCTATTGGAATCTGGTATTAGTATTCCCATATTGGGAATATTATTTTCATTTCAAGGGGTTATCAAATGTTTAATATTTCCATTTTGAGAGGAGCTGAGAGTGAGAATGTTCCACTGAGAATGTTCCAAAAAGGAAATAAAATGAATTCTGAAACACATTAAAAAACAGTTTCTGATTTACCATAAGGAGTCCTTTGAAATAAATACAGTCTTCAATAGGGGACAGTGAAATACTACTATTTGCCTACTTCCCTCCAATTATTTTGATCTTTAGTGTTACATATTCAGAAAACATCTTTAGTGCACAGTAAGAATATCAAAACCAAAAAGGTACCAAGGTTATCTACAGTGCAAACACGATCGCTGAACTGATGTTGCCTGGGTGGCCCTTTCTTCATCTGTATTTGATGCAGTCATTCCATTTAGATCTATTTCCAGAACCTGTAAAATCCCAGTGCTATTGCTAAGCAAGTGAATACCGAAGCTGTTGAAAAGAAAAAGAAAGGAAGTAATTAGCTGAATGCTAAATTGTATCACATTCAACATACATGAAATTAACTGCAAACAGATGGAAGAACAACAGAATAATTTGAGAAGACAGTGAGATGTCTTAGAGATAATATCCTGCCCAGGTGGTGAGATGGGAGGTCAGGGTCAGCCTGGGGAACTGTTTGCAGGTACACATCTGAGTAACTACGCTGGGTAATACTGAACACAACAGGCTGCAGTAACTTTTACTATTGTCAACCCATCTACTGGCAGTTGTATTACAGGAGAGATGGCTGTACCAGGTCTTGCGTTAGACATAATTAAAATGATTGCCCACTGAACAAAATGACAATGAACTAGCAATACACATTATCTGACAAAACATCAGGACACCTTGTCAGGGAAAAGTACCAGTATGGCCACACTGAGACTGTGTGGGGGACTGAATGGGAGGCAGAACTGATCACTCAGACTAGACCTGAGTATCCAAAACTTCCAGGATAATTTAAATAAATGGCAGCTGGGCAGCAAGCAGAGGTACTTCAGACTAGACAAGGTATTTAGGCTTCTTTCCTATGCTTTAAAAAAAATTAAGAAAACATGTCCATGTTCCTCCTAATCCCAGTTCTGGGCGCAATCCTAGTCCAAGTGCAGCAGTGTCTGCATGTTCCCACCTCTTCTGTGTGCTGTCACATTTCTTTCACTTGGGGAGGGTTCCCCAGTCCCAGGTGTCTGCTGTTACACGACTGACCTCCTGAATTCACTCTGCATATTCCTGAACAAAATTTTATACATCCAAAATACAATTCTGGTACTCACCTGCTTGCCTATCACATACCTGCCAAATAACGTATCGTATCAAGTTTATTTGATTCCATGAGCGTTTTTAAGGAAGCTATTTCAGTGTCAATTTTATTACTGATTTCTGAGATAACACTGTTGGTACTTGAGTCCTGAAATATCAGAAGACAGCATAATTTGACAATGATTCCTAGCCCTTTCAGCTTTGCAAAGCCAAACAAGAATACCATGCTACCAGCAACAAGAAAGAGAAACAAATTTCCAACCTATCACTGAAGTAAAATATGTAATTGGAAGAGAACTTAGAAGACAAAGAATAGCATTTAATACAATCCAGGAAGAATACTGAAGAGAGAATGAGAAAACTCAGGTCATACAGACTTTTGTCTCTGATATGGCAGTATATCACTGAACGGTGTTCAGTGAAAATCACAGAAACATTCAGGTTGGAAAAGACCCATGGAATCATCGAGTCCAACCATCAGCCCTACTCTACAAAGTTCTCCCCTACCCAACATCCCCCATCATCTCATCTAGATGACCCTTAAACACACTCGGGGATGGTGAGTCCACCCCCTCCCTGGGCAGCCTATTCCACTCTCTGAACACTCTTTCTATGAAAATTTTTTTTCCTAATGTCTAGTCTAACCCTCCCCTGTCGGAGTTTACATCTCACAGCTGTAGGCAATAAGCACATACAACAGACGTGAGCAGTACCACTCAGCCTTTTGCCATATTTAAAAGTCTACTAAGTTTCACAAAAGTTTGGGATTTACATAACATGCAATGTGTAACTGTATCCTGTTCAATATCAACTGAGCTTTGTTCAGTACTTACTTTTTTATGAAACTCTGTAGATGCTTCCATCAGTTTCCTCTCCTGATCTGTAAACTGTGGATAAAAGATAAATGACAACTGTAGTAACGAAAAACAAGACACAGAACCGATAAGGGTATCTTCATAGAGCAGCTTACCATATCTGTCACTCTGCTTCTTTCCAGGTTTATGTCTAGCTTGCTGTCAGCTCGGATTTTACCAGTTTCATTCTTTAAAGCAAATAAACATTATGAAAATAACGTTGCTTTCCCCAACAGAAATGTGTATGTACTTGCTGTTTACTCACCACTAGCTGCTGTTTAATTTGATCCAATTCAATTTTCATTTTCTAGGTGCAGAAGAGGAAAATAAAAAACAATTTTACAAATTCAGAAAACTGCTGACCAAGTTTATCATTCATGTGTTACCACCATACGCATCCAATTACTCTTCCATAATTTTTCTTCCAATATACCAATTTGTTCTTGATTAAATATCCTAACTAGTGTGTTCAATCTGTATAGCCACATGTAATCTGAGAATTTTCCTCAAAGGGATTATTTTGTAATAATGATAATTATTAAAAATTAATTTATTAAGACTAAAACCAGCAGAAAAATACCAAAATGCTATCAAGCAAAGAGAAATGTGCCTCAATCACCAGTTTAATTGTTGCAAAGAAACAGGTGACTACTCTCCCCACACTGCATGGTTAATGCTGACAAGACTGTACCAGAATCACCCTTAAATAAAATTACAGAAGATGATTTTAAAATGTGTAGATTTTTTTCTTTACAAAAAACCTGAGCAAGTCTTATCATAGGAAATATATTTATGTGATCAAAGAACTTGAAATCTGCAAACACTTCCAACTCTGAGAAAAGTATCCAGAATTACTTTTACATTCATATTTTGTTCCACAAAAATGTACAACATATATAAATATTTTTAATTATATAATTAGTACCTCATTCTCTGCTCTCAAGTTTGCAAATTCACTTTTCTCCAGGATGACCATATCTTTTCGAATGGAGTCCAAATGTGCCATTATCTGCTGTAAAGTTATTTCCTTACAAACAACAAAACATGTCAATGATTAACTTGCACACTTTCTGGTCAGTAGGAGAAAGTAGATTTTTAGGTCTGAAATTATAGGTCTGCAAAAGCACAAAACTTGGGAGATTCTGCAACAAGAAAGTGACAGAATTTTATAGCTGCAATTTGTTTGGAAGAGTCCAGAGGGTTTGGGTTTGTGTTTTTTCTGTTGCTTTAATACACCAACTCTGAATTTAAGCAAAAAAGACAGAGTATGAAATAACTACAGGTTAGTCCTTCATTCTCTTCCATTTTCAATGAACATTCAGTAGGCTATAAAGCATTAATTATTGGTTTGAATCCAGTTTCTAAATATGCATTTGCACTTCTTGCTCACAAAGTCACAAAAAGCCAAAAATTTAATGATATGAGTACCACACTGTCCTCTCAGCATTAAAGTCTGACACATACTAGTAAAACGTTGCTAAAAAGCACTGAGAAAAGCCTTCCTGGTGTTTGGACTAACAAGTTTAGAATTCAACTTGTATTTAAAATCTACAGAATAAAAGAAAAAAAAAAAGAATCTTTCTATGTTAGAATCTCAAAATAATACTGCTTTAGTTAGCATAAGTAAGCTACCCTACTATTTAGCAGGGAAAATAATGTATTTTTGCAGGATTCTGATTCTAAAGCTGAGAGCCAGCAAAATGAATAGCTCTCATTCAGACTACAAGGCATCAGGATCTCTCAGAACCTATACTGAACTGAATTTGTTAAAATATGCCCTGACCCAACTTCCACTGAAATCTGACTTTGTTGAACACAATGAAGTTTTTTTTTATTCCTGGGACAACTTCAGTTGCATTTACACCGAAGAGCTGATTTGCCTTGTCCCATCTTAAAACATTCAGCCTCAACACTAACTACACTATAAAAGTCAGTGTTTCTACTTAACACAATTCCATGCAAATTACACTGGGCATACTGACTTTGTGTACACATAGCATGATTTCCGTAAAGGTTTCCATTTTGATAAAATAGAGACATGTTCTTGTCTTCTTCTGAGATTTATATAAAAGAAAGTTAGATAACTTTTATTAAGAATAAATGCCAGTAAAATAAAAATCTATTGGAAGTATGGCTCAGCAGTTAAAAACCAGCCATGAATACTTGAATGCTTAATTGCATTAACTCACTGAAGATATGGCACGTAATTTCCGCTTGCACAGCCTTCCTGAGTAATTATTAAAACCCATTACTGTGCATCAGAGCTTTATTATCCTGGCCCAGGTGGCTAGTCTGCAAGAAAAACTAAAGTTCTTTTTATTTTGGCATGTTAAAATGAAACTTGTCACCACCTCTACTTGTCACCTCTCTAGAAAAAACAGCCATGCTACTTAACTGATTCCCTGCCTTCAGATATGTCACAAACACAAACCTGAGTATCTCAGCGAAGGAGACACCCCGATGCTTTGCCTGAGTGCAGGCTGAGGTGCCAACCTGACCAACACCAACAGCCACCTTTACACACAACTAAGTAATTCAGAGCCCACGTCCTGTCCCCAAGGGCACATGACACACCACAGGTTACATCCAGATGGAAAAAATCTCTTCCTTACCTTAACTCAAGGTGGCTGTGTCCACCCTGCCTGGTGGGAACACTTCCTGGCCCTATACTTTCAGAAAAACTGTGCCCACGTCAGGCAGACTGAGTTGGCATGAGTCAAAATCAAGCCAAGGTGCTGCAGTAACTGCTGAGCATTCTGGATGACTCTGGTGTTTGAGCCCATGCCCAAGCCATGCTTAGTTTTACTACAGATTTAGCTTTAGGGACTGAAATGCAGTGTAAAATCATGGAATAGTTTTAATAGTAGCTTTTAGCTTATGAATGGGAAAATAGGACAAATACAGGGTATCTCAGAACAGCTGCCATTGTTACTGAAGAAACTGACAATGTCCTGGTATTTTAGGTGGTCTTGTTATCTCTCAGGAACCCCGCCTTGGATCTCCCTTCTGCCCTCAACCATTGTAAAGCACACTTAAAAGTTTGGTTTCATCTCAGAGCTTTTCAGCAGCAAATGAAGCAATCTCTGAATTACATTTACATATTGTGGCTGTAATTGGCAAACACTCCTGTGAGATGAAAGGTGTAAGATATTACTAGTCTTAATACCAACTTGAAACTTCGGAAAACCTATCTCGGTGAAGTGCTTAGAGTACTATAGAGTTGCTCACTTGTCTTTTAAATAAGCAAATATGAGCCATTATAGTGACACAATGCTGTATACGTACACCAGACATTACTTTTTACCTGCTGAGCCTGTGTAACCATATCCTTATAGACTGTGTCTAAGCTGACATTCGACAAGGTTATTAATGCCGATACGATGGTCTCCGCTTGTTCCTTCCCAAAGCCTAGAAGACAGTTGAAGGATGACAAGTTAATATTAGAAAGCTGGATGAAGAGCAAGACGTACACAATAGAGTGGGAAACTCAAGTGCTGTACCTAACTACAGCAGCAAATGGGAAGTCACACGGTTACTGAAAACTGACAGCAAGGAGCCAGTCACTGTGACTTTTAAACCAGAAAAGACCCAGACAGTGCTGCAAAATTTGAAGCACATTAACTTTTAATATACTTAAACAGTCTATGCATGCAGCTGTCAGGACCAAATTTCTGTACAAAGTTTACTGTACATGCATTATAAAAATAATTCAACAGAATTTTACTTTGTAATTAACTTTCACAAATTCTGTTAAAACCAAATTTACTTGGAGCTACAAAGCATGCATCCTACACAATAATAAAATTAAAAGGTACATCTGTATATATTGAAATTGGGCAGAGATACGAACACACACAAAACTGATTTTAAAACTGCTGCATTCTGCCTGAATAATGAATTCAAACTGGGATTTTTGCTTTCTGATGGTAAAAATCACACTTTCTCCATAGCTTGGTGCAATTTTTAAGTGTGGAAGATGATGTATGATGAACAGTGAGAATAAAAATCCCAGCTATCATGTTAGCCATATCTGATCCAGTGCTGAGAGCTCTGGCCCTAAGGATTTATTTCCAGCAGTCTCACTGATGTGTTGTATTCCAACTGACCCATTTTATAAAGTGAGATTGATTAACTTTTTTGTTGAAAAATGCTTTCAGGGCAAATTATGTAGAGAAATATGCCACTGCTCCCTTCTAAAATACTGGTACTGTCAAGGTGCCCCACTGGTTTACATTACTAAAAAAACTCTGCATGCTTTATGACAGTTTATTTCCACTAAGAGGTGTGATTGTATCGCTTCAGTTCCTCTGAATTTTCAGGGTTGCTTAGGTTTTTGCCAATATTCATTATTTTGTTCTTCCTCTACAGCAGGAACTGTCCTTGTTGCATGGAAGTTTAGAAAATATGGAGAATATAATATAAGCAAGAGAACAGAGCCTGAAAACTGCCTGAAGCAAGTTTGAAAAAAACTAAATGCCTCTTTCTCTTTTGTGGTACGTATAGGTTTTACCTACAGAGTCCAGTCACTTTGGTACCGAAGTATTTGTAGAACTTATGGAACAAATTAAACTGAATAACAACACCGTGTACCAGCACCAAACAGACTTCACCCCACGAGCTCTAAAGAAACTTGAAGAAGAAATAGCTGAATTAGTACTGGGGACAAGTAACATCTCACAAACTACCTCAGTTACCTGAGGACTGGAAAATGGCAAACACAGAGCCAGTTTTTAGAAACAGTTCCAGAAGAGATGGAGGGAACTACAGCCTGACAAGCCTGATGTGTATGAAAACAATAAACATTGTTGGTGGACTATTAGGAGTCTTCTAACTACTAATACATATTATCATTAGACTCAAATAGTGGGAAAAATCCTAACCTCAGATTGGATAAAGTTCCAACTGTCACTTAGGAGAAAGATCTGGGATTTTAAAAGATAGTTGCTAGTCTGATGAAGGTATCGGCTCAGTGCTTAGTGGGGATCAATAAAGCAAACCAAACCCTTCGGAATTACTAAGAAAAGGAACTGAGAACAAAAGAGACGCAATGTTAAGTCACTGTTCAAATCCACAGGATGTTCAGCTGTCAAGTAATGCCAGTGGCTCTGTTCCCATCCCTTTGAAACAGGATGCAATAGAAGTGGAAAAGATTGACATAAGGACATCATGAATGATTAGAAGTATGGGAAAGCTCCTGCTCAGGGAAGAATTCAACAAGCTAGGATTCTTCTGTTTGGAAAAGAATGATGGGGGAAAATGACAGAAGTTCACATAATGATGAGTGACACAAGAGATCAAATGTTCATTCCCTCTTTCCACAAAGAGCTGAGCCGGCATCTAAATAACCTCACAGAAGACAAATTCTGCACAAACAAAAGGAATGGATATCTGAAACTCCACGGGAAAGGATGTTTTGGGGTACTAATCAGTCTGTAGTGGTTCAGAGACTGAAAAAGCTTGTGAAAAAATTTCCACTGAAGATTACTAAAACTCATAGCTGACCCAAAATACCTCCAGCTCGAAAACACTTGGAGGCATAGAAAGTGCAAGAGGATGTCTCACATACATCTGCCCCATTTCGACACAGAACCGTGGACAGACCTTTCATCCGACTTCTGACAGCCACACTCACAAAATCGAAGTGCAGGTATTAAGAACGTATCAGAGTACCGTGCTGCTGCAAATATTTATAGTTAGAAAAAAACCCCTTAGGTTACTCTTAGCAGACTAGTAGAAGGAACTTTACTATTCAAGCTTCATTTTTGCAAGGAAACTGTTTTTAACTGTTAGTGTTACTTTACTTTTGTTAACTGTATTACATTCCTTAGCTGGAAGACAATATATAAACTTGTCTACAGCTACAAGTAAGGAAAAATTAATGTCATGTTATTTGTATGGTTACAGGGGCATCAGACAGTGTCAGATGCCTCCTTGAGAGGCTGCCAAAAAATTTTATAACATCAAGTATTGGTACTTTGGGAAAATGGATAGCACTTAAAGTACTTAAACAAAAAGTTTTCCTTTAAATTATTTATCAGATATCACTTACCATGGGCTTCCAGATCCTTCACTAAAGCATGGGTATCAAAAGTTACCTTCCTCTGCTCCAGGGGAGTGATTTCAACTCTTCTGACATCATATGACTTCCTAATGAGCGTGGCAGCAAAACCTGGAAGTGACAACATTTGCCTTAAACTTGACTGGTTTATCATGCAATCTGCTAATTTTAATTTCTTTCTTCACAGCGAAGCTGTATGGATGTTGCAACAAAAAGCTGGGTCCTTCTGACTGCTTGGTTACAGCACATGTCAGAAACCATGGATCCCTTTTCCGTAGGAAATCTACACCAACTAGGACTCATATATTGATTTTAAGTGCACTCCTATAAGAAAACTGTGCAACAGACAAGCATCTGGATACAATAAAAATAAGACCACCAATTGCTTGGTAATATTTGAGACACGTCACTTTCAATCATATTCTTTTTACACTTTCTTCTATCGCTACCCTTTCCAGCAAGGAGTGCCATGTGTGAAGATAAACCTAGAGAATTTTTTAGAAAGCTATGCAAATCTAACATTCAGAATAAATTTGTTGGTTTGACAGGAAAGTACTCGGGAAACAAAGCAATACAATGTTTGCACCTAATACCTCAGAGAAGGGCATTAGTTAAAGATCCACTGTATTTTGTGACTGCCTTCCCACAAGATGTTTCACTAGTTCTCTGACTTCATGCATATTTTTCCCTTCATCTTATTTTTGTGGGGTCTTGAACGTTACAGATTCTGTTATGATAGATTCTTTGTTATCTAAAGAGCCCTGTTACTTCTAAATCCATTCTTATCTGAAACTTTTTGCACTTTTTGCACTGCTGGCTCTCTGCGCTAATCAAAATGTTGTTCTCTATCTTATCTAGACCTTTCCTCAGAAGGGAAGTCGTTTAAATAATTATTGTGTCACTAATAGATAAATCAGGTTTCATGCTGCCTTCCATTTAGTCTAAAGTCCTGCCTGTAAGTAAACCAGCCACAGTATCCAAAATCAATGTCCATACTAAATTTAAGATGAAAAAAGATGAAGGGAAGATATTTAAAGTGCATGAACACGGAATACTCCATACAAATAATTAAAAATAACTCGAAACACCCATTTTTCACTGAGACATAAATGGCTTTTAAAGACACAGCTCTTTGCCCTCTAAATGCATTGGTGGATTATTTAATTGGGTTGAGTAACTATATCGCAAAGACATTCTCTCAGAAGGGCTGATGTTACTGCATGAGGCTTCTGGTTGCCTTGATAAGCTGCTCTTTTCTCTGTTGCTTCATTCCCGTATTAACTCGGTGCACGGCGCTCAGACCAACGCTGTCTTCAGCACTCACCGATGTTCACACAGACTGTGTCCGAGGCACCATTTTCGCCATGCCTTTCCGCACCCCTTGGTAACTCCCGTCGCTCCTCCCGTCTCAAACATTCTGCCAGTGCCCGTAAGCTCTGAAGTCGGCTCCTCTCGCCCCTGTGACGCGGCCCTTGCCTCGGGCTTGCCGCAGCGGCGGCGTTTCGTGCTCCCTCCCGCACCGCCTCAGGACAGGCCCTCACGATCGCTCTCGGGCAGGCAGCGCGGCCCGCCGAACGCCCTGAGCAGCCCATGCAGCCCGCAAGGCCCCGAGGCCGAGGTTACCCCCTCCCACAGCCGGTGGCCCTGTGCCCCCTCCTGCCGCCGTCTCTCCTCGTCCCCCGACGCGCACAGCCCCGCGGAGGGTGACCCGCCGGCTCCCAGCGGGCCGAGGGGCCGCGCCCGGCGCTCCTCACCTCTCCGAGGAACCGGAGGCTGCAGAGCCCAGAGCTTTG